ACCGGTTTGTCCTGTGCACTGAAAGGTTGCTGGTTCGATTCCTGGTCAGGGTACATGCCTAGGTTGTGGGCTGTATCCCTGGTGTGGGGTGTGCAGGAGGCAGCTGATCAGTCTCTCTCCCTCTCTCTCTTTCTCTCTCTCTCTCTCTCTCTCTCTCTCTCTTTGAAGAAAAATAAGTAAATTTTACAGCCTTTAAGATGCTTTAAAAAAAAAAAAAAAAAAAAGATCACCACTCCTTTTGTTTAGTTGACAGAGGAGGAGGAAAATCTAATTTATGTACCAGCTCTTCAACACATACACAATTTGAAGACCTTGAACAAAGACTTTTATGGAATACCATTTTTGGCCAAGCAGATATTTTAAAGACTAAATTATTTCTTAAACTACTATCAGCAGTAAACCCTGATTGAAAATATTATGTCCCATGGGGACTGAGTTTCTCAGGCAGTAGTCAGGATGGGAAAGAAGATGAACATTTTGTCCTTCTTGTTAAATTACTTTCTTCTTCCTGAAATGAATAAACCGCTGTCTCAAAGAAATCATGGGCTCTTTTTTATTTTTATTGCTATGGAATCAGCTGAGACAAACAGTAAGATGGTTTTCATCCCATGGCCCACAACTTAGACATTCAATTCCACATGCACTGACACCTCATATGTGCCAGGCATCCGGCATACATACAGCAGTGAACACAGTACATCTGCAGACTTTTGCTTCTGGGGGGAAATGATGGGTTTAAGGCAGACAGAGATATACAAAGCACCCAAAGGGGTGAAGGGAAGGGAGGATGAGAGATTGTATTTTTCTATTTCCCAATGAAAATCTGTAATTATTGTTAATGATTGCCCTTCTACCAATGATGTCACAGAAGCATACAACCATCTCTATAACACATGTGTGTAAATACATGTAAAAACTGAACAGGTTAAGTGACTTCTCCAGAATCTGACACATCAGTAGCTGACTCATATGAGGAAACACATTTAACGTGACTCAGAAACCTCTTCTCCAATCACTAGGCTTGACAAGTCCCAACATGCAGTGCCTACAGTTTGTGAAAATATAACAAGCTGAGGATCTGCATTTATCTGATGGCCAGGTAAGGACACACAAAGCACCCGATTGTTCGAGTCTGCTCTTTCTCGGGGATCCTGGCTGACACTGAAGAGTAGCCTCTTTAAGGGCACAGAAACCTTTACTGCTTTTCTTGCACCCTTTGGACCAAACCCATTGATGAGAAGGCCTGATACTATCCAATCCCTGAAATGTGTAAATCATAGGATTTGAATTTTACCCTGAAATTTACATTTCTCGGGGGCATCGGCCAGCCCAGCAAGATTCACGGAATATTCTAACCTTTGGGTTTGATCTCATGGTGTCCACTCACCAGGATTGCTACTAACTGGCTCTGTGTTTGAGTGAGTTTGTCTTCTTTGGACCGTAGCCTCCTCGTGGGAAAACGGAGGGAATTGGAGTAGGTAATCTCTAAAAGTTTGGTTTGATTTCAAGCAGACTTTTGAGTAAGTGGTTACACATAGCTGAGCTTCGGTCTCCTCATCTGTAAAATGGGGATAAAAATACCTACTTTGCAAAGTTCTGTGAACATTAGTGATGAAAGTAAATAAATTACCAGGTACAATGTCTGGGTGAGGTTTAGCCTGAGCTTTTGTTGCATAGGAGAAATCTCAGTCCTAAAATGTGCTATTAAACCGTTCCAGACACCATTTGAAGGGTTGTAGATAGGTTTGTTTTACTCAAGTTCAGGCACTAACACAGTATTTAAAGCTTTACATTCAAAATAAATGTAACAAGCTCATCATGACAAATTTAACATCCTCATTTTTTAAACTGTCCTTTTTAAAAAGACACTGAAAGTCTGGGTTGCTGGTGTAAATGCTGTGGTTTTAATCACTTCCCTGTAGTAGACACAAGTTAGCAGTGTTGGCTGCAAATGAAAAAGAGAACTTTCATTCAAATTGAACAACTGGGCTATGAAAGAAGGAGGATTATAGCAAAATGTCCTTAACCCTCTCTCAAAAACAGAACCAGGGCCACATTTGAGGAATACCAAATGATTCTCATTAAAGTAATACGAATTTTTTAGGTGACATGTGTCTGACAGATTCATGGCAGCCAGAGATCCAAAAATAACACGCAGCCGGCAGTTCCTGCTCAAACACACCTCACAGACGCACTTCACACTGTTTTGAGGATGCTCCACCCTAGACAGACTGGGTGGGAGGTCACATGCTAATGGCTGTGGCGTTGAACATGCATTCCTCGTGACAATACTGACATGTTGGATTTAATATGCTGAGTTCCTCCAGCTCTTCCTTCAAAAATGTCGCTCTCACTTGGACAGGGAAAGCCAACAAATTTGGCTGTTTCCAGACCCTGCTCCACCCAACAGCTAAAGTTATTTTTAACTTACAGCTACTGTTGATAAGTATTTTTCAATCACACACACACACCCTTTCAGACAGAGAAACTCAGAAAAAACAAACATCATTAGATTTCAGTGACAAGTGGCCAGTTCCTGGGTCAAAGCTGTAAACGAATGTCATTTTGGTTAGGAACAACAGAGCATTTCCTATGTATCCATGTTTTTCAGTCCTTTTCACAATTTCTCTAATCTGCCTCCTGAGGCAGTGAGTAAGCTAAAATTGTACCAGGTCTACCTTGGAATAATCTAGAGTTCTGAACCAAATAAGACCTATTTCCACATTCCTAGTATAATAAACAATAACTAATGAAATGAAAACTATCATTTCGTTGTACAATTTGCTCCAATCAACACATTTTCCTATAGCTGGAAATTAGCTGGGTGAGCTATGCTCCATGACCCCAAAAGTTAAAATATGGTGGAGAAGATAGATAGAGCCTTCAGGGACGTCAAAGATGGAGGTGACAACTTTGCATAAAAATAATAATTATGACTACCTTTGATGTCAACACCATCATGGGTGCTCTATACATATTATCTCAATAAATCTTCACAACACCCTTTAAGGTAGCTACTATCACTATTCCTATTTTACAAATGAGAGAAATGTGACACAGAGAGGTTAAGTAACTTGCCCAAGGTCACACAGCTATTTAAGTGGAGGACTATGTGTGTTTTTTTAATTTATTTTTTTACAGAGAGGAAGGGAAAGGGATAGAGAGCTAGAAACATAGACCAGCTGCCTCCTGCACACCCCCTACTGGGGATGTGCCCACAACCATGATACATGCCCTTGACCAGAATCGAACCTGGGACCTTTCAGTCTGCAGACCAACGCTCTATCCACTGAGCCAAACCTGCTTTGGCTAGCTGGGGTTTCTTAAACAGGCTATTTAACTTTTCTGAGTCTCAGTTTTCTCATCTGCAAAGTGGAGACGACAATACGCAGCTCCCAGGATTTTGTGAGGAGTGTTACACAAAACGATCTTTGCAAGGTGCACAGAGTTGGTGGAGTGGAAGGTAAGGATGGCTGCAGAGGAAGGGATCTGGAATCAAGTGGGAAGCTAGCAGAGGGGCTTTCCACTCTGTGGTGACTGCTCTGTGCGATCTAATCACCAAGTGGCTCAGTCTGTGAAGCACCGCAACTACAAGCCATGAAGGGCAGGAGGCTGCTCTGATGCCAGCAGCCTCTCACATCCATCCCCCTGTTCATGCTCTGGGCCTGGCAAGGTGCTGGGATGCATCTTGGACAGGACGGACTAGCTCTCGTGGAGTTGACATTCCGCAGAGAGGGACAGATGGTTACCCACCCACCCCCGAAAGTGAAAGCAAACAGTTTAATTTCAGATCCTACTAAGGGCGGTGAACCAATAGCCTTGTGACCTGGGTAAGTCATTGGCTTAACCTTCTCTGGGGGCCTCACTCTGCATTCACAGTTCGTTTCTGAGCCCTCTCCCTTAACCCTTACCAAGACGAAAACTCTTGCCATGTTATTTCCCAGAGAGAACGTAATAGCCCAACGGATGCGGGGCAGCGGGAAGGGGAGGAGGGTACACCACGGTTCTTCAAGACCAAAGCCCAGCCCTGGCGCCCTGCAGGAGGGGGGCCAGGACACCCCTAACCTGATCCCTGGCGGCTGTGCGGGGTCAGGGTGCTCAGGGTGGGCTCGGGACTGTCACTCCCCAGCCACAGGGAGCGGATGCCACTCAGCCTCCTTTCCTCTCCTCGTTCCCTTGATACCCGGGAAACAAGCCTGAGAACCGACCTGGGACCCCATTAACCAGTTCTTGGGGCAGGGTGGGATGCGAGGCTGGCCCTCCTGGGTCCAAGAGCGGGGTCTAGGCTGCAAGGGGTCAGGAGGCTGCTCCCCCCATGCGCCCCCGCTCCCGGCGGCGCGGCGCCCGGCCTGGCTCTGCCGCTTCGCCCTGACAGCTCGGGGTGGAAGGGGAGCTGCGCCTCCTCCTCGTCCCGCCCCGCAGCGACCCCCCCGCCTCTCCGGCCTCCGCCGGCGGGAGCGGCGGGAGGATGGGGTGCTGCTCCCGGGGCGGCGGGGGCTGCGCCCGGGGAGAGGCGGGGGGGAGGGGGTGCGGGCACCGGGCGGAGGGGCGGCCGCGGGCGCCGGGGCCTGGCAGCCCGGCTGCATGTTTCCACCCGCGCGCGGTTGTGCAACAGCCGCGGAGCCGGAGCCGCGGGCGCCGCGGAAAACAAGCCGAGCCCATAAACACAGCCACGTGGCCCCGCGCCGGGGGCCGGGCTAAGGCGGGCGGCTCTTCCGGCAACAAAGAGCCGAGCCAGCCCGCGGCCCGGATAAATAGCGCGGCCGGGACCGCGCGCCGCAGTCCGCCAGCCCCGCGCCCCTCCCCGGCTGCAGCGCCCCGCGCCCTCCGCCCGCGCCGCACCCGCTCCGCTCCGCACCCGACGCCCGCCGCCCGCGACCCCGGTCCCTGCAGCCCGGTCCCCGCGGCGGATCCCCCGCACCCCGAGCGCCCAGATCCGCCCGCGCGGCGCGAACCCGAGGCCGCGGGCCGGTGCGTCCCCCGGGCTGCCGCGCGGGGCCATGCCGTTCCTCGGGCAGGACTGGCGGTCCCCCGGGCAGAGCTGGGTGAAGACGGCCGACGGCTGGAAGCGCTTCCTGGACGAGAAGAGCGGCGGCTTCGTGAGCGACCTCAGCAGGTGAGCGGATGTGCCACCACCGCCTCCTCCCAGCCCCGCGACACGGACCCTCCTGCTGGTTTCGGGGGCCACGGGGGCGGGGGAGTAGGAGGGGGTGCATGGGGTCAGGCAGGCTTGGAATAGGGTGAGGAGGAGGAGAACCCGGCCCGGGAGATGGGGGGGGGGGGGGAGTCTGGTGTGTGCAGAGGCCGTGAGAGCACGGGATCCCGGGATGGGACGTTCCTTGTGGTTCAAGGTCAGCGTCTGCAAGCGGGCACCTCTCACGGGACCCTGTGCATGGGAGGGCGAACGCAGATACGGTCCCCACACACTTCAGTGTAAGCACACACTGAAGGGGTGCCCTGCCTTAAGGACAGCGGGGTGGCGCAGTTTGCAAGTGTGGGGGCGCGGGCGAGTGGGACACGCGCTCCCTCCCCTCCCCTCTCCCCTCCCCCGCGCGCACCCCGGGGGGCTGGGGTGGCGGGGGCTCCCGGAGCCCCAGCGCGGTGGGTGCATCAGGTGACGGCATTGGATGAGGGTTCCGGCCCGAGCACCGCCAGGCTCTTCCCACGCAGAGGCGACCAGAGTGGGCTGGTGGGAGGATGAGTAACCAGGAAGGGGCGGCCAGATGGCCCCGGGCACCGGCTTGCAGGGCGGGCGGGTGGTCAGGAGTGGGGGCTGCAGAGCTGAGCAGGAGGAGGGGGGGAGAAAGGTGAAATCCACAAGTCTCCTGCTGCTGAGACGACCAGCCATTTGCACCTGTTTCCTCCGTGGCGCTGTGGGTTGCTGTTCTTTGCACAGGGTGTGCACCCCTGCGTCAGAGGTGCTTGCCAAATGCAGAAAGCCCGCCTGGCTCAGCTGAGCGCCTGGAGATCCCGCCGCAGCCCTGTCTGGTGGGAAATCCGAGGCCCGCTGAGCTGGGAGTTCTGCGTGGCTAACAGCACAGAAGCACTGACTGAGGTCTGGTTCTTAGCCGTTGACTCTCAGATCCCTGGCATTTGGCCCAGGCGAGGAGAGCAATGAAAGTGTGTGTGTGGGGGGGGGGGGGGGGGGTCTCTGCAGCCTGGTCACCCTTGGGTGCCTTATCCCTCCCACTCTGGTTAAAACCCCTGCCCTCCCTCCTTGATTTGACCTCAATGGGCAGTTTTGTAAGGGTCAGGGTTCCCACTTACAGAAACCCGTGGTTGTTTGGCTGGCCTCTTGACACTTCATTTTAAGAAAACTACAAGAAAATAACAGGTGATTTTGACAGCTTGACCTCCAGAGCCCCCCATCTGCATGTGATTTGTAAAGCATCACACTCTTTGTCTCCCAATGGAGGAAAACAAAAAACAAACAGTATTTGATATTGAAGGCCTGTCTGGAAGAGACGAGACATATTGACCTCTGTTGAAGATGCCTGTGGGCAGATCCTAGACAGGTTGGGGAGCATTGCAAAGAAACTTTATTTATATAAAATCAGATATTTACTTTCAGAAAAACACTGTGGCCCTAGCTAGTTTGGCTCAGTGGATAGAGCCTCGGCCTGTGGACTGAAGGGTCCCAGGTTCGATTCCGGTCAAGGGCATATGCTCTAGTTGCCAGTTCCATCCCCAGTAGGGGGCGCGCAGGAGGCAGCTGATCAATGATTCTCTCTCATCACTGATGTTTCTGTCTCTCTCCCTCTCCCTCTCCCTCTCTGAAGTCAATAAAAATATATTTTAAAAGAGAGAGAGAGAGAGAGAGAGAGAGAGGAAGAGAGAAGAGAGAGAAACACAAAGATCACCTGTTCTCACCAGACTGTGTCTTTTGGGAACTCCGGTTACCAATTATGCCTAAATTATTCTGTCCTGCAGAGAAGATTCCTTCCTTCTTCCTCATGCCTCAGAATGATGACCTAATATTTGGTACTTTATTTCTGCATAACAGTCCAGATTCTTTCTAGAGAGCCATGTCTCAGTGACTCACCCAAATATAATTGCAGGATGCTCCTTGGTGGGAAGCAGACCACTGGGTTCGGCAGGAGAGGGTTCAGAATAGAGCTTCTGGTTCATAGAAACACGCCCTCTGTCCCCGCTCCAGGAATGAGGTGGCATCACTCCCTTTCCCAGTAAGCAGGAGTGCCTCTCTCTCCATCACATGGGAGACCTGAAGATGGTTCTAGCTTAGCACAAACTTACACCCAGACGAGAGCCCTTCCGGAGTCTCCTTTCCTTCCTCCCACTCCTCACCCTCTGAGCCCCAGCTGGCCCTCACCGTCATCATCACAACGGTGATCCATACAGCGACTGCCTATGGTTCTGGGATGAGTCAGAGGACAGGAATCCCTCCGTAGCTCCTAGCAAAGCAGCTGGCTGTTTGTTTGTGGAGCCCTGTACTTTTCCCCCCAGCGACTGTAAACAATCCCTTCCTTGCTTAGCATGAGAAGTCTGCCAACTTCTGAAAAGAGGCTGGCCTTCTGAGACCCGAGTTTAACGTCTCAAATATCCTCACTGTGTGTTTTTTTTTTCGGTCTTCGTGATGTTTCCCTGTGATGTCAAGTTTGGGCTGAGCGCCCACCCGCCTCCCCAGGTGAGGCTGAATGCCTCTCCTGTTAGGAGGGAACAAAAGGCAGTCCCTTTCAGAAAGGAAAGGGGAGGGGGGGGAGGCATTGTAGCACAGAGGACTATAGAGACGGGGTAACTTCTCTTATTCCGGGGCCCATTCAGTGGCCTGCCCCAACAAGACCAGGGGTGAGGTGTGCCCTGGGAGTGTTCCTGCCTGGGGCTAGTGTTTAGTCCTCGGCCCAGTGCACCTTCCCTGGGCTCCGCTGGCCATGCTCTCTGTGACCTGAGGCCCTGGCCTCCTCCAGCCGCCGAAGGTCACAAAGCCCACTGCTGCCAAGTGCCCTGAAATGAGATCACGGAGGATTTCATATAGGCCTGACGCAAAAAGCTGAAACCACGCAAGACAGAGAAGGAATGACAAGTGTTAATTTGGTGAGACAGCCCTAGCCGGTTTGGCTCAGTGGATAGAGCGTCGGGCCACAGACTGAAGGGTCCCGGGTTCGATTCCAGTCAAGGGCATGTACTATGGTCGCAGGCTCTTCCCCGACCCTGCTCAGGGCGAGTGCGGAAGGCAACCAATGTGTCTCTGTCACACCGATGTTTCCCTGTCTCTCCCCCTCTCTCTAAAAAATCAATGTAAAAATATCCTCGGGTGAGGATTAACTATCAATAAATAAATCATAAAACCTCAAAACAAAACAAAAATTTTGGTGGGACACACTTAAAATCCAAGAAAAAAAGCTCAGAATGAGTTGGGTGATCCAAAGAAGTGCTGGTAGAGGCACCTGAGACAGTCATTCTCACCAACAACCCCCCTCCCTACTCCTCACTGCCCCCTAGGTGAGCAGTCTCAGCGGAGCCATAGCCACCCTCCAGGCCTGCAGGCCTGCAGGTGAAAAGTTCAACGTTGCTTTCCAGTATAGCTGAGGCTGAACCAGGAAGCAGGAAGTTTACCATGGTGCTCTGGATGAGTAGGGCATAAAGAAGAGAAAAATAATAGTTGAGATTTTTATGAGTGTTTACTGTGAGCAAGGCTCTGTTTTGAGAGCTTTATATACTAAGCAGGTGGGGGTTTTTTTGTTTTGTTTTTTACCATGCAATCCCTGTACTAACCATATGCATTGGACAATTTGGGTATGCAAGGACAATTGGGGTATGCAACACGGCAAATGAGCACAGAAATCTCATTGGCCTTCCTCTACCACTGAGCCCGTCAGAGCAGCCAGTGCTTTCTTAAATGGCCTGTGGTTGCAAACAAAGAGAAATAAGGCTTTTACTTTTCTGCCCCTCCCTTTATCTCTGCTGCCAAAACAATCTTACTTTGAAATCTTCCCACCTTTTCTGAACTTGTCTTCAAGTATCTTGGAATGTGTGATGATATCATGGGGCTGGGAGAGGCCTTCTTTCTTATTCTAGGCCGGTGCCTGTACAAATCAGCAATAGTGAGAAGTGACTACAGAACAGCAACTGACTGGCTGTGACTGAAGCAGGCAACCTCCTTCATTGGTTTGGCTTTTCAAATAAATAAATAAATAATAAATAAATAGATAGATAGATAGATAGATAGATAGATAAATGTAATGGGTTCCAGAATGGTGGTGGCTATTCTTGTTAAGTAAATAAATAAATAATTCTGTTGTAATTTCCCATTGGCTTTGCATATCCTTGAAATGGACATAATTGAACTCTCAAAATAGTCTCTGAGTATAGTATTGCTTAAAAGAAAAATATAAGCAGGCATCAGACATAAACCCCATAACCATACTTTCTAGAACTTCCCGAGGGGGGTTCCCGAACCTAATACCCAAGAGGAAAGTACACAGCTTCTGCTTTGGTTCCAGCTTCTCCACATTCTACAGTGAGAGAGCACCATCAGTTATGTCGGACTCTTCTGAAATGCGCCTTGGGAATGAATCACTCGGGCTTAGCGCAGGTTATTGTCATTTCCTTGAGGAAAGCAAGGGCTTGCATTTTTATTTTTTTTTTCCAGGAATGTTTTCAACGAGAAGAGAATAAGGTGAAATATAAATATTTAAAACTTCCAAGGAAAGGTCCCAGTCTACGGCCCGGGCTCTGAAACATTTCTGCTCTACCTTCCATGTGTGATTCAGAATAGCACAGCTTTGGTTTACATGTGGGATTTAAGCTGTAGGGTTTTCTCTGTGGTGTGTGTGTGTGTGTGTGTGTGTGTGTGTGTTTCCTTTAAAAAGAAGCAGACAGAATGGCCTGCCTGCTTTCTAAAGCTGTTCTCGGCCTTGGTACATCGTGGATCAGTCAGATGACTTTCCATTTTCCCCTTCTCCTCAACCTTGATTGGAATTCGTGAGTTAGCTCTAAGGACTCAGAGTTCTGCCCTCCCTTTGTTCTGCCCCTCTCCTCCTGCAAGTGGACAAACACACACTAATGTGTGACACAAAGCTGGCCCGAAACACTCACCCTCGGCTTCGGGAGAAAGTACCTCCGAGCGAGGACATTTCTGCAGCAATCTCTCTGAAACCTAAAAATACCCAGATTCTCAGAACGAGAAGGAGAAGGCTAAAGATATTAGAAAGCTCAGTAAATGGTATTAAGCAGGGCCTCGTGAGGGAAGATTAACAAACGATTGGTTATCCATCAAGCTTCTCCCGATGAGACTAGACACACTGAGTATATTGTTGGAATTGTCACGTGCAAGCATTTTAGCAAGTTACTCATTGTACTCATTGAAGTGCTGTTTGAGAGACCATTGTAGCAACAGGGTACTGGGACTTGCTTCAAATCCTCTTTCCTTCCATTTACACAACGTCCACAGATTGGAGAAAATACAGATGTGGCTGATTTGACTCAATCGGTGTTTGTCAAAAAAAAAGATATAAATCAAATCACATTTTAAATTTAGCAGAAGAATTCAGGGAATTGTAAAGAACTCTTAATATATTGGTGGTGTCATTCTTTTGTTGTTGTTGTTGTTGTTATATTTTATTTATTTTTTACAGAGAGGAAGGGAGAGGGATAGAGAGTTAGAAACATTGATGAGAGAGAATCATCGATCAGCTGCCTCTTGCACACCCCTTACTGGGTATGTGCCTGTAACCAAAGTACGTGCCCTTGACCGGAATCGAACCTGGGACCCTTCAGTCCGCAGGCTAACGCTCTATCCACTGAGCCAAACCGGTTTCGGCAAGTGGTGGTGTCGTTTTTTTTAACACCTAATTTATGTTTTACTCCTTGGCATTCTAAAACCCACCTTGCATATACCTACATACTCCAGGGGGGTTGGAGAACTGGAAACCTACCCTCCCATTCTATATACCTCAGTATTTCTCCTGCTTCCCTTCCGTGGAAACGCTGCAGAGATTGACCTTGAAGGGACATTGTATCGTAGGTCAGCACTCAGTCCAGCCCTCCCAAATGGTGGCTCAGTCTAGGAGGGAACGATCCACGTGGCCCAGGCTGACCCTGCGATCCCTCCAGTGACCTGGGGATTGGGCAGTTCTGTCTGTTCAGCCCTTAGAATGTGTGAGCTGTGAACTCCGCTTGTTTCCTTTAGGATCCAAGGTCCTCACCTTGCAAGCTGATGCCGGGATTTAGTCCATTACATGAAACTAAACAGCTAGCTCGGTTCACAGATCATCTCCTAGAAATGGAGTCAGCCCTAGTACGTCGTGGATCAGTCAGATGACTTTCCATTTTCCCCTTCTCCTCAACCTTGATTGGAATTCGTGAGTTAGCTTTCAGGACTCAGAGTTCTGCCCTCCCTTTGTTCTGCCCCTCTCCTCCTGCAAGTGGACAAACACACACTCATGTGTGACACAAAGCTGGCCCGAAACACCCTCGGCTTCGGGAGAAAGTACCTCCGAGCGAGGACATTTCTGCAGGATTTTTGTAAACGTGATCACGTGTTAAAGGCTTACAGAGGCCTGGCTGGTTTAAAGCAGCTTGGGTGCCCTTTCAACAGGAGAATTGTGTGGCAGGTGAATTCTGTCTTTTTGAAAAGCAGCTTGGGGCGGGTGCTTTTGCAAAATGAGGGCATTGTGCGTTACAGGGATACCAGGAGTGGCCCCTCTCCCGCTCCCTCCATTCATCCTTTTTGCTTAAAGTAATATTGTGCTCCCTGTGTGGAGGGTGCAGGGCTGTGAGTCCAATACAATGGCAGGCACTGTTGGGAATTCAAAAGCAGCAGAAGCCCCCATCCCTGCCTTCCACTGAGCCGTGACACCATCTGATCCTAAAAGAGGGATGTCTGTGCCGGGATAGAGATCTTTGGAGGGGGTTTTGTTGTTGTGTTTGAGAAGCGTGTTTTATCACCAGTAAGCTACTTAGGGAAACAGCTCTGTTAAAGTATAGCTGTTAGAGCACTTCCTTTCTTGTCTTGTTTTTCCTAGCTACTGCAACAAGGAAGTCTACAACAAGGAGAATCTTTTCAACAGCCTCAACTATGACGTGGCGGCCAAGAAGAGAAAGAAAGACATGCTGAACTGCAAAACCAAAACTCAGTGTAAGCCCTCCGCTGTGGCCTGAGAACCCTGTCTGGAGATGTCACAGTTGGCTTGGGGAGGGCGAAGGGAATCGTCACAATTCGTGTGAGACATCACCTCGATGTTTACTCTGTCATCGACGGAGGATGCTGGGACCTTCGCACTCAGAAACCTGGCTGTGCCTTTTACGAGCGAGATTAATGTGCTCTTTATAGCCTTGTTTATAAAGTCCGTTGCTAGCTGAGGTGGTTTTTTGGGTTTTTTTTCCTGCTTGTCACTTAATATTTGACATAGTTAACTTAGTTATGATACAGCGATACAGTCAGCTGAATCAATTCCAGTGCAGGCTATTGTTTTGAACTGTTCTGATGATCTGAAAATGGATTTGTTTCTCTCTCTTTCCTTTTGTAAATATTAGTAACCCTTCTGGATGCTGTGCATGAATATCAAAGGAGAGCAGAAAGTTCTGTTAATAAGCAGGAATGACAGGTCTTTAGTTTAATCCACCTGTACTGCAGGGTTCCCATGTGCTATCTGCTTTATTTCTTCTTCTTATGACCTTGCACAAGTTGTAGGCTTGGCATATAAAACGAACTTGTACTTGGGTGTTAGATTTTTATTTTTTATTTTTTAATTTGGAGCTATGAGACATTGAATTTAAGTATCAAAGATTTGGAGTGCTTCAGACAAAGTAAATTGTAACTCTGGTATCTAAACACTACAGAAATAGGGCATTTGCAGCCTCTTAAGTTATCGGTAGAGTTTTTGTATTTTATTATTTATTTATTTATTTATTTATTTATTTATTTATTTATTTTTGTTGAAACTTTTTACACTTTGGGATAAATGAAAAAGAAACAAGTTTAGCCGAAACTGGTTTGGCTCAGTGGATAGAGTGTCGGCCTGCTGACCGAAAGGTCCTGGGTTCTATTCTGGTCAAGGGCACGTACTTTGGTTGTGGGCACATCCCCAGTGTGGGGTGTGCAAGAGGCAGCTGGTCGATGTTTCTCTCTCATCGACGTTTCTAACTCTCTATCCCTCTCAATTCTTCTCTGTGTGGAATCAATAAAATATTAAAAAAGAAAAAAAAGAAACATTAAAAAAAAGAAAAAAAAGAAACAAGCTTAAAATCTTGGGCATGTTCAAACTGAGTATGTTTTCTTATTGTCTCTGTAGATTTTCACCAAGAAAAATGGATCTATGTTCACAAAGGAAGTACTAAAGAGGTGAGCATCATCTGTTATTAAAGAGGCCGCTTAGCTTTACACCTTTCCCTTTCCCGGCAGAGTGGGGGGAAATGGAGCAGCAATGTTATTTCAAATCATGACTGTCTTCTGGGGGGTGGGTGATGGCAATGAGCAGCCCACTGAGCAGCCGACCATGAGAATCTAGAGCTCCAGAGAGAGAGAAGCAAAAGCCACTAGTCCCCCCCCCCGCGCCCCCATCACTCAGTAAGATAACATATGTAAAAATATGTATAAAGACGCCCACCTCAAATTTATTATCATAATAATAAAGCTCAGGCCTTTCTGCCTCAAGACAGTGCCTCCTTTTTGTTCTAAGATCTCTTTAGATTTCAACTCAGTTAAGTTTTAGCCCTGGGAGAGCTAATCACTGAATAGAGCAGACTGATTTTTGCCTGAGCCATGAGAGGCACCGAGCTGGATGTCGAAGGGAACAAGACTGTAGTTGACACACTTGCATGACACTTTACATAAGCTTTGGGCATACTTTCTCTGCACAGGCATCATGTGCTCAGACAACTAGGATACAAGGCAGTAGGAGCGGATGACAGGCTTTCTGTCATTGGAGAACATCTGGTTCCCTCTGTGCTGGGAGACCCCGAAGGGTCAGGGATGTACCCAGATACCCAGACCTGAGCTGGGACTCTGAGTCAGGGCTCTCTACTCCCAGTTCCTTATGGGTTCGTAGGTCAAAGATCAAAACTTCTTTTTTTAAAAACAATAATAATAATAAAAATACGTTGTCATTGATTTTAGAGAGAGGGGAGGGAAGAGGGATAGAGAGATTAAAAACTGATGAAAGAGAGACATTGACCGGCCACTTCCTGTCACTCCCCCTACTGGGGATTGAGCCCATAGCCTGGCATGCGCCCTGACCGAGAATGGAACCATGATTTCCTGGTTCATGGGTCAGTGCTCAACCACTGAGCCACACCTGCTGGGCCAAAACTGTTTGCTTCTTCATGGAGCCTTAAAAACTTCTGATGGTCAGAAAAGTACTGAGAGAAGTACCAACGATGCGAGGCAAGGTAGCGGGCAGAGCTGGCAGGTAGGTCTGCTGCCCCTCCCAGGAGTGTGTTACCATGAAGCACCTGCCACCACCTCACACATCGCACACCAGCTCCTCGCCTCTCCCTGGTGAGCAGCCACTTTTGAATTTCCCCGTCTACTCCATGCAGGGCACAAGGGCCCAAATAGTTCAAGTCATGAAGAAGGGTGTTAACCTGTGAGTTCTTGACCGGAGCAGCTGCCAGCTCCATTACCCCCATCCATATCCGTGGCTCTCGGGGGGTTCCCAGGAAAGGCATGTCATGGCACAAGAAGGAAGGAAATGGTCATGGTTACCTAGGACAGGCACCAAGTGTATTCCATCCGGTCTGGGTGGATTGTTCTGGAATAACCTCCGCATCCCTCTTCTCACGTCCAGCGCCATGGTTATTGCACGTTGGGGGAAGCTTTCAACAGGCTGGACTTCTCCACCGCCATCCTGGACTCCAGGAGATTTAACTACGTTGTCCGGGTAAGTCCCAGCACCCCGAAGGCTGACCCAGCCTCTCTCTCAAGTGGAATTGTCTTTTCGGGTTATCTACAAGGAGTTTCCCCCAAAGACGTAACTTGTTAAGACCCTGAGAACTTGGAGGAAAGCAGACATGGACCCCTCAACGTCCCCCTTCCCGACGTACTTCAAGGTCGTCTGTGGATTGCTAGGGTGTCCCTGAGAGTGGCCCCGACGGAGGACAAGGGACAGATGGGATGCCAGGATGCTCAGTGAGCCACTCCCGGCCCCCATGGGTAAAAGGGAGCGGGTTGCAGCTAGCCACAAAGCACCTTGGCTGGTTTCAAAAACCTTCTGCACCTCTGCCTGCTCCCACTATCCAAGTCCCTGTCCCACTGCGGCTGCCACAGGTGAGCCCAAGGCTTTCTGGGTTCCCATCACAACCCTGGGTGAGTTCAGAGCGAGCACCTCAGGGCTTCTTTCCCAGGCCTCCCTCTCACCTCCACCCTCCTATGATAGCAGGAGTCAGGCCTGTGTTTGCCCGAAACCACCTGCGGGGTCAGTGGCTTTCCCTTCGTCTTTAATGAGCTGTCTCGAAATCCCAACGATGATGATAGAAAAGCAAGTACTAGTGAGTCTAACCTCGACCTCAAAGTCAGGGCTCTTCGTTGGTTTATGATTGTGCGTTTTTGTCGGTGGTGCCGCCCCAGAGGGAGCAGCTGTTTGGGTTTTAGGCTCGGGAGTAGGAGGGAGCGTGGGCGTGGGTAGGTTTGGTTTTTATTTTCTTCTCCCCCGGGGTTGTTGTGCTCCTTCGTGCCATGTCACTGAGTCAGATGATCGCGAAGGCTCGGCCAGCGCGGTGACATTCAGGTCCCCTGGAGGCCCGGCTTGTTCACCTGTCATCTGGGCAGATGCAGGGCTGCTGGCCCAGCTGACCTGATGAAAACCAGGAAGTTCTGGTCCCATCGGGCCCAATCTCAGGGACACCCTAAAGGGCCACGTGAGCAGATCTGTCCACTCTTCAGCTGAGCCCTTATGCCAACCCAAAGGTGTTGAAAATAGGAGCCCATCTCGATAATGTTCGTGTCACTCGGTGTGACTCTGTCACTTCAGGGAGGTCACGGCGGCCTGCAGCCCGGAGCAGGCTGGCTGGAGACAGGCCAGGAAGGTCTGGACACTGTTGCTAAGAATATGAATAGTTTCCATCCCCTCAGTGTTGGAGCCAGATCTGGTGTCTTCGTTACAGACTGGTCAGCAACATGGCCGGTTTCCAGACGGTTCTCCTTCCCACCTGTTATGCCTTTCGCAAGAAATAGAATTACAGAAAGGAGCAAGGATCGCAACAGGGAAACTCTGTTTCATGCAATCGTGCATTGTCCTCCTTTATCCTTTCAATAATCCTACAACGTGTAGGTGCTTTTATGACCTCTGTTTTAACAAAGGGAGGTGTAGCACAGCAGGCATGGCTCAGTGGTTGAGCATGGACCTATGAACCAGGAGGTCACAGTGCAATTTGTGGTCAGGGCACATGCCCAGGTTTCAGGTTCGATCCCCAGGGTGGGGTGTGCAGGAGGCAGCCAATCCATGAGTCTCTGTCATCCTTGATGTTTTCATCTCTTTCTCTCACCTCCTTCCCTCTCAGAAATTAATAAAAATATATTTTAAAAAATAAACAAATGGAGGTGTAGCAAAATAAAACGAGTTTTCTAAGGTCATGAAGTTATATAAGTACAAAAGGAGGATCTGAAACCAGCGCAGTCCACAGTAAGCTTTATGTAAGCAGAGTACTGTCAGTGAAATGGCCCAGGGTCAGAGGATTGAAAGCTCCTACTACCTTCACTGTTTCAGTCTCTCTCTAGACTCAGTTTCCCCGTCCGTAAGAGAGACTCAGAATAACCTCAGCTGCACAGGGTGGCTATGAAACTCAGTAACGCATTATAGATGGAAATGCTCTGCAGGCCAGAAACTTTTATGCAAAGTCAGCTGCTGATATTCATTGTTAAGTTGATAAAAAATGTTTTTTCTGCTTTAAAAATAATAGTTAACTAGGAGATCTTGCAGTTGATTAGGACTCAGCACGAAGAACCTGTGTCTGATAGTGTCTAATTGCAAACTGTCTCAGGAGCACTTTCTCTTAAATAATTTTGAAGTGAGAGAAACTGCCCAATACGTTCAGCGTTGTTAGGTTCCGAAATAGTGGAAAAATATTACTGTTTTGGAAAGAACAATCTTTTTTTCCCCTTCCCTGTCAGAGCCCTCGGTAATTTGAGAAATAATATGTTATTTTTATGAAGAGCTTAAAACAATTTAATGACAGGCACTGCATTTTGAGGCTTTCTTCTGGGGACTCAATACACGTCTCATACATTCTTCTTATCCTTAAACCAACTTTGCAAAGTGGCTTGCCAGTATTTTCTCCCCACTTACTACTTCGACCTAATGGTTTCTTGATGCTGCAGTAATTTCTTAGTTCCAGTAAGAAGCTGAACCAACTTTGAAGGCCTTAAAAAAAATGGTTTTATTCTCTTTAAAGGCAAAGTCCATTTCTTAAACACGTTGTGTTCCTGCTGGCTGTCATCTCCAGAAAAAGAGACGCAGAGGGAAGCAAAGAGATGGCCAGCGCTGCTATCTCAGAATGTTATCATTTTTATCAGTCAGCACGGGAATTTGTGGAAATTTTGGAACCAAACATTTTGAATACAAATTGCAGAGGTTTTATATTTTTTAATAGAAATGGCATTTGTACACGAACTGACTTCAAGCGACACCGGTTGACATTATCCCTTTCCCCGCACACACCCAATGGTTTGAATGCTATTTTGACTGTGAGTTTTAAAGATGACTTGAAGTCTTCAGAAGCAGCAACTTACCGTACTCATTTATGAATGGTCACTTTAAAAAAAAATGGTTTACACCATGCCTCAAGACCAACACATTTTGGAAATTCCCCTTGTTGGGGGCGTGACTGGAGAGGATCCCAGGAGCTGGGCTGGTGGTGGGGCTCAAACTGGGGTAACCACAGGAGGGAAGTGCTGACCTGCTCCCCCAGGGCCCAGAGAAAGTGAGGACCCAGTGAACTGGGCGGGGCTCGGAGACCACACACTGCTCGTGGCTCCATGAGGTGAACTTGCTGTGACGGTGGCCCCAACCCTGGCTGTGTGTTAGAATCACCTGCAAAGCTGGTCTATAGAAGGCCACCCCAGCTGTGGCTGGTGGCATTAGCTGATGTGGTGCCAGGCATGGCTATGAAAATGCATCCACCACGTGATCCCAGTGTATTTTCAACTTTGCAAACCAGCTCAGGAACTCCTTGGGGGTCCAAATGGTATATTTTGCACATTAGGTTTTTATTTTTTATTTTTTTTAAATACATTTTATTGATTTTTTTTTACAGAGAGGAAGAGAGAGGGATAGAGAGTTAGAAATATCGATGAGAGAGAATTATCGATCAGCTACCTCTTGCACACCCCCACACTGGGGATGTGCCCGCAACCAAGGCACATGCCCTTGACCGGAATCGAACCTGGGACCTTTCAGTCCGCAGGCTGATGCTCTATGCACTGAGCGAAACTGGTTTCGGTATATTTTGCACACTAGGTTTTTAAGTAGACAGTGAGGCAGGCACACGGAATGCTTTAATGCCAGGATGGCCTTTGACCTGGTCCTCCCGGCTCTCTCTATGGAAAGACTGTGGCCACATCGATGGTCACCACAGATGCCATGTGCAGACCAGGAAGGTCCTGGAGAGCCCTGCCTCCCAGTTTCCTGACTGGGATGAACTAACCCTCATAGCTAGCGGGTCAGGAAGGACAAGCGAACGCTGTCCACTCCCTCTGTCCCTCTGCAGCAGAGAATCACAACCTACACCCGTGCTTGTTCTTATTTTGTCCCTGCATCACCACCCCAGGTCCATTTGGATATTTCCAGCAACTTATGCATTCCTACCCCCTCCTAAAAGCCTCTTCCAAAAACATGTTTCAGTTTAAGTTGACTGGCGGTTTGGCAAACACAGGCTGAAACAGGGCACCATGACTCAGATGCAAACCCAATGCCTTTCATTAAGGCCGTGCTGTTGCCAAGCCCCTGGTGGGGCGTGATGTGCAGGGGCAGCCAGCCCCTCTGCCACCGTGACCTTGGATTTAATGCTGCACACACTCAGTGGCTGGCCTCCCCGGGAGGGAGGGTGGTCTCTGCCTCTTGGATCTTAAAACTGATGGTATCTTTTTCCGTTGCGACTGAGAAGCTGGGGTGAAGGGATGAAGGGAAGGGGTCAACAGAGTCCAGATCAAAGAGCCATGAACCCATTTAAAAACTGCTCACAGAAACGGTAGGGAATCGTGAGGACCCACTGCAGGGCACCATCCGTGAGGGCACAGGGCTGTCCGGCCGTGAATGCCCATCAGACTGCTAGCGATTTCCCAGGACAAAGTCTGCATCTCTTGGAATTCCTGGCCACCTCGGTCGGAGTAAGCATTGAGATAAGCAGAACCTGCTGTGTCTGGGAGCCCACAGAGGTGGGGACACTCACAGTCAGGAGGATGTAACCACAGAAGTGAGGAAGCGTGTGTAGAAGTGGGGGGCTGCCTGAAGAAGTGAGGGTGCCCACACAACCACAGGGTCACTGCAGGAGTAGGAGGGTTCCCACAGAAGTGGGGGCACCCAAAGAAACAGGGGGAGGCTGACAGACGAGATAGCGGTACCTTTGACCATGGACTCCTAAGAGTAAATAAGTAATGGAAACATGTGCTGTCAATGTACGTACACTCATGAATTCAGCTTGCAAATCACATACCTTTAGACAGTGCTGGTCGTGGTATTTGCCGTTGTGCTGCTGTGAGGGTTAAACTGACTACAAACAAGTAAAAGGCATTCAAACAGCACCTGGTGCATTCAACAAGTATCCGTTGTTGCTGTTACTGTTATCTATCTTCAGGGTCCTAATTACAGGCATCAGAAAACTCTCAAAAGTGGAAATTAAAGATGAAATAAAATATACAGATTGATTTTTAAAAATTCTTTCCCAT